AGCAACCTCCAACTCCTGGGCTCAAGTGATTCTCCTGCCTCTGCATCCCAAGTAGCTGGGACTACAGGCGCCCGCCACAACGCCTGGCTATTATTTGGTTGCAGCCATCATTGTTGTTTGGCAGGCCTGGGCTGGATTCGAACCCGCCAGCTCAGGTGTATGTGGCTGGAACCTTAGCCACTTGAGCCACAGGCGCCAAGACCACAGTGTTGGTTTTGATGAGAGGTACCTCTCCCATGCATCATGCTTTGTAGACAAAGGGTGCCTGGGAAGAGGATTAACTTGAGGGCTGTTCATCTCCCCAGGCTTTCCCAGATAATGCTGCCCGCAGGGAGGTGGAGAGCCTGCCAGCCGTCTGTCCCAGTGATGGGTGCACCTGGAAGGGGACCCTGAAAGAATACGAGGTAAAGACGCAAGTTGGCACAGAGACTCCTTGGGGCCTGCATGTGGTGTGGTGGCTTACGTTCAGCAGTCAGTGGCTCGGTGCCCATAGCTCAGTCGTTAGAGCACTGGCCACTTTCTCCGGAGCTGGTGGATTTGAATTCAGCCTGGGCCTGCTCAACAAACAAACAAAAAAATAGCCAGGGATTGTGGCGGGTACCTGTAGTCTCAGCTACTAAGGAGGCTGAGGCAAGAGAATTGTTTGAGCCCAGGAGCTTGAGGTTGCTATGAGCTATGACACCACGCACGGCACTCTACCAAGGGAGACAAAGTGAGACTGTGTCTCAATTAAAAAAAAAAAAGCTGAACAGTCAGGATCTTTCTTGCAAGGCAGCTATAACCTTGGCCTGCACTTGACCTTTACTGAGATTAAAGCCTGTCTAGAGGAAGAGAGTATGTCTCTTTAGAGACTCAAGCTGTGCAGAGCACTCTGTGTGCCTCACTTTTCTTGTCTGTCAGTGGGGCACAGACTTCTATCATTGCATAGTAGAGATGAGGGTTGGAGGTGTCTGTGTTGATGCTGGGAGCACTGTATCTGTCTAAGCAGCAGCCTTTCCTAGAAATTAAGAAGTCTCTTCTGCCCTTGAGACTGCAACTTTCAAGCTTGCTGGAATTTTTTGTTGTGCCAAATTGTACTTACACTAGAAACTGCACAAATAATGGGCACGTTCCTTCTGCGATCACAGAAAGGCTTCTGTGGCAGTGCCTGTGGCTCAAAGGAGTAGGGCACCAGCCCCATATACTGGAGTTGGGGAGTTCAAATGTGACCTGGCCAAACACTGCAAAAAAAAAAAAAAAGGCTTCCAGCTAGTGACATAGGCAATGACCTGTTGCTTAACCTTGTGGTTTGCCTCTGTACCAGGTGGGGTGGGCTGGCATTCCTATGTTGGCATGTTAGGGCCTTCATTGTGATCTTCATGTCACCTCTCAGGCATTTGGCAACTAAGCCTGCAGCATAGAGGCCAGGAGGTGCTGGAAGCTTGTCCAGGCCACCACAGCAGCCCAAGTTACACAGTGTCATCTCTCATTAACGCACTCCCTATGTCCACAGTATTCACAGTGGCATCATTCAAAGCAGGTGGAAGGTGGAAGCAACCCACATGCCCATTGACTGATGAGCAGATAAATAGAATGTGGTATGCCATTCAGTGGAGTCTTTTTCAGCCTTAAAAAGGAGAGACGGGTGGTGACTGTAGCTCAGTGGGTAGGGCACCGGCCACATATACCAAGGCTGGGGGGTTTGAACCCGACTCAGGCCAGCTAAAACAACAACTGCAACAACAACAACAAAAATAGCTAGGCGTTGTAGGGGGCGCCTGTAGTCCCAGCTACTTGGGAGGCTGAGGCAAGACAATCACTCAAGCCCAAGAGTTTGAGGTTGCTGTGGGCTGTGATGCCACAGCACTCTACTGGGGGTGACATAGTGAGACTCTGTCTCAAAAACAAACAAACAAAAAAAAGTACAGATGGTCTGACATAGGCTGCCCCAGGGATGAACTTTGAGGACAGCAGACTTAGTGAGATGAGCCAGTTACTATGGAACAAACCCTGATAAGAGGCCCCCAGACAGGGACAGGAGGTGGAATGCTGGGTGCTAGGGCCAGGGGAGGGTGGGAGATTATTGTTTAGCTGGCATAGAGTAATAGATTGAAATGCGGTGGTGCCTTGATGCTATATAGTCCTGCATGAGGCTGGCGAGGCTGTAAAGGGCTTTTTGCTGGGTAGCTGGCTGGTCT